TGGTCTACAGGTCAGTGGTGTGCAGGTCAGTGGTGTGCAGGTCAGTGGTGTGCAGGTCAGTGGTGTGCAGGTCAGTGTTCTGCAGGTCAGTGGTCTGCAGGTCTGTGGTCAGTGGTCTACAGGTCAGTGGTCTGCAGGTCAGTGGTCTACAGGTCAGTGGTCTACAGGTCAGTGGTCTGCAGGTCAGTGGTCTGTGGTCTACAGGTCAGTGGTCTGCAGGTCAGTGGTCTACAGGTCAGTGGTCTGCAGGTCAGTGGTCTGCAGGTCAGTGGTCTACAGGTCAGTGGTCTGCAGGTCAGTGGTCTACAGGTCTGTGGTCTGCAGGTCAGTGGTCAGTGGTCTGCAGGTCAGTGGTCAGTGGTCTGTGGTCTGCAGGTCAGTGGTCTGCAGGTCAGTGGTCTACAGGTCAGTGGTCTACAGGTCAGTGGTCTGCAGGTCAGTGGTCTGTGGTCTACAGGTCAGTGGTCAGTGGTCTACATGTCAGTGGTCTGTGGTCTACAGGTCAGTGGTCAGTGGTCTACAGGTCAGTGGTCTGTGGTCTACAGGTCAGTGGTCTACAGGTCAGTGGTCTGCAGGTCAGTGGTCAGTGGTCTACAGGTCAGTGGTCTGCAGGTCAGTGGTCTGTGGTCTACAGGTCAGTGGTCTACAGGTCAGTGGTCTGCAGGTCTGTGGTCTGCAGGTCAGTGGTCAGTGGTCTACAGGTCAGTGGTCTGGACGTCAGTGGTCTGCAGGTCAGTGGTCTACAGGTCAGTGGTCTACAGGTCAGTGGTCTGCAGGTCAGTGGTCTGTGGTCTACAGGTCAGTGGTCTACAGGTCAGTGGTCTGTGGTCTACAGGTCAGTGGTCTACAGGTCAGTGGTCTACAGGTCAGTGGTCAGTGGTCTGCAGGTCAGTGGTCTACAGGTCAGTGGTCTGCTGGTCAGTGATCTGTGGTCTACAGGTCTGTGGTCTACAGGTCAGTGGTCTACAGGTCAGTGGTCTGCAGGTCAGTGGTCTGTGGTCTACAGGTCAGTGGTCTGCAGGTCAGTGATCTGTGGTCTACAGGTCAGTGGTCTGCAGGTCAGTGATCTACAGGTCACTGCAGGTCAGTGGTCTGCAGGTCAGTGGTCTGCTGGTCAGTGGTCTGCAGGTCAGTGGTCTGTGGTCTACAGGTCAGTGGTCTGCAGGTCAGTGGTTTACAGGTCAGTGGTCTGCAGGTCAGTGGTCTACAGGTCAGTGCAGGTCAGTGGTCTACAGGTCAGTGCAGGTCAGTGGTCTACAGGTCAGTG